GACGTGGCCCTTGCGCGCCGCCGTCCTTGGTAGCCCAGCAACCATATTATAGTAAGGGCACCCTTTTTTGGGTTGGTTTTTTTTATAATGGTTTAGGGTTTAGGGTTTAGGGTTGAGGGTTTAGGGTTTAGGGTTTTTTTATAAGGGAAACCAGAACCAAAAAAAAAAAAGGGCAAAGGGTACCACTGGGCCACCAAGCGTCATTGCAGCAGTTTCACCCCAGATGTTGGCGGCATCCTTGTCTGCACCGGCCTCCACGAGCAAACGGGCGACCTGGGGTTTAGGGTTTAGGGTTTAGGGTTTAGGGTTTAGGGTTTAGGGTTTGGGATTTAGGGTCTAGGGTTTAGGGTAGTAGGATCCCCTGAAAATAAGGACCCTCATAAGGTACCCCTGAGTTCGGAAACCCCCACCTCAACGTGGTCCTCCCGAGCTGCGAGCATCAGGGGGGTGAAGCCATCATAGTTGGGCAGGTCTTTGTCGACGCCGGCCTCCACCAAAAAACGCACGACGTCAACATAGCCATGGAGGTCGGCGATCAGCAAGGCTGTGTATCCATCGTAGTTGGCCAAGTCCTTGTCCGCACCGGCCTCCACCAGCAAACGCACGACATCTACGTGACCTCTCAGCGCAGCCATCAAAAGGGCACTGTCGCCATCCATGTTGGTAAAGTCCTTGTGGGCGCCAGCCTCCACAAGCAAGCGCACGACGTCAACATGGCCCGCACCTTGGAGAGTGAACCCCTCAAAGAGTTTAGGGTTCATAGACCTTAGAACAGGAAGTGTAGTAGTATAGGGGTGATACGACGGTTCATATACCTTATAACGGGAAACTCGAGTAGTATAGGGTAACATGACTCCCAAAGGGTCCTAAGTACCTAAATGGGGGACACTTACCCAAAACATAATAGAAATTCCTATTCTAGAAACCTTGTTTTTGTACTATGTAGGTACTTAGGACCCTTTGGGACTGTAGGGTTCATCCAAGTGGTCACCAGGTCACTGGATGCCCTGCACAGCGCCCGCTCACCAGTTTCTTTGGGCAAATTTGGGTCCTGGGGCCAAATGAGCCTTAAGTAGGGATTTATGATTCATATACCTTGAGATAACCTTAAGAGGAACTATAGTAATAATTATAGGGTAGATGATCCCAATTTTCGGGTACCTTGATATAACCTTAAGAGGAACTATAGTAATAATTATAGGGTAGATGATCCCAATGTTCGGGTTCATTTGGTCTGCAGGGTTTTGGTCCTGGGGCAGCTGGAGCATGAACTCCACCTGGAAAGTTGCGATGGCGGGATGGCAGTCTTTGCTTTGGCTTTAAAGAGGGGGTGCTTCCACAACGTCAGGGTGGCCCTTTAGGGTTTAGGGTTTAGGGTTTAGGGTTTAGGGTTTAGGGTTTAGGGTTTAGGGTTTAGGGTTTAGGGTTTAGGGTTTAGGGTTTAGGGTTTAGGGTTTAGGGTCCAGGGTTTAGGGTTCTTTCTGCCCCGAAGACCAGAAGCCCCCTGAACCCTACGATGCTGGCTTCTCCAATAGCCAAAGGAAAGCAGACAAACTTCATTATTCTTACGAAACAAGGAAACTCAAAAACGTTTTTGTTCAACTATGGACCGAGGAAGGATATGAGCACCCAAGATGCCCCCCATCCTCAAAACACCCCTTCCCCCCCCCCCTTCCCCCCCCACCTTTTCCACGAGGCCTTCTGAGGCGGCAGAGACGAGCTCGTCTGCTTGCGCCTGGGTCACGGCGCAGAAGGCCTGGAGAACGAGGTGAAAGTCCATGGTGTGTTCCTTGGTAGCCCAGTATAACCATATCATGAAAAAAACGGTGCCCTTCTTTGGGTTGGCTACTTTTATGATAAGGGAACCTTGAAAACAAAAAGGGCAACGGGTACCACGGGGCTACCAAGGTTCTCCGGCGAACTCGTCGGCATCGCACAGGTTGACCCCCTGGAAGATGAGCCTCTGCCTGTTTAGGGTTTAGGGTTTCGGGTTTAGGGCTTCGGGTTCCCTGAACCCTAAACCCTGTAAACCCTAAGCCCTAGATCCTACATCCTGTCGGGTTTCGGGTTTGAGGAAAGTTCCTGCCTGAAGCGGGGGGGAAGCCCGTGCAACTCATGCAGCCGCTGCTTCACCTCCCTCACGTTGCTCACCTCCTCCAGCGGAATCCTTGCCACCTCCTCCCCGGAGAGCATGCAAATATGCAGCATCCCGGCTCGAGGGTTTAGGGTTTAGGGTTTAGGGTTTAGGGTTTAGGGTTTAGGGTTTAGGGTTAAGCCTTGCAGCTACCCAACGTCCGGGCATGGGCCCAGACAGCCGAAAGGGCTGCGCAGCATCAGTCGTGTTCCCTCCCCTACTTTAGGGTTTAGGGTTTAGGGTTCAGGGTTTAGGGTTTAGGGTTTCATGCCCTGAAGCCCTAAGAACCCTAACAAACCCCCTAAAACTCGAAACAAAAAACCGAAAAAAACACAAAAACCCGAAAAACCCAAAAAGCCCTAGAACCCTTAAACCCCAACCCGGCAAGGACCCGAGCACTCCCTACTAAGAGGTATTTCGGGAAATGCGGGGTTGCGGGCTCCAACTTGAAGGTCGGGGGCGTTAGCAGCTGCAGCAAGCGTTAGGGTTTAGGGTTTAGGGTTTAGGGTTTAGGGTTTAGGGTTTAGGGTTTAGGATTGAGGGTTATAGGGCTGAGGGTCGGCTTATAAGGCGTGGGGTAGGTAAGGGTTTTTTTTGGGCTCAGGGGACGTAGGGCGTAGGGGTTCTTTCAAGCTCTCTCCGTCTTCCGTCTGCTTGCTGCAGCCGTGGCCTGGTTGCGAAAAGCGCCAGGCAAATGACCGCGCCACAAACAAGCCACACAAGAGAACCTCCCATGGCGAGTGGTGTCACTGGGGATGTTCCCCCCTTATACTAACAGTTCTGAAGAGGGATTGTAATAGGGGGTACCATAAACCCCTAATTATTAAGGACTGTGAGTAGAAGGGGGAACATATCAAGGTGTCAACAACACCAAATTTAGGGTCACAGGGTTTGGAGGATATGTGTATCTCCCAAAATTGGGGTACCCCTTTTATACCCCAAATGTAGAATAGAATCCCCTTAAAGGGACCCCCAAAAAGGGTACCCCTACTTTCGGAAACGCCCATCTAGGCTTTGGGGTTTAGGGTCCATGTCATGGACTACTACGGGCTCTTGAAGTCGTATAAGGGACGAGTGAGGGGTTCAGGGTGCCAAAGAAGCCTATACGGGGATGTGCCGGAGATGGTGGGTATCCGGCTCATGTACTGGGAGGATACTTGTGTTTCGCCCCGGTCAACCCACAGCATTTGTGATGTTTAATCTTGATCTCTTTTGGCATGGTTCATAGTTTTTTTACATTGTCTTCATGATTACTACTATTTCTAGATCTTTATTGACGGTGGTTGTTGCTATTATGGGACAACTGGCACATCAGGACTACCCCTTCCCTATAAAGACCCCAAAACCTTAAACCCCCTACAACCCCTTCAAAAAAACCCTAAATCCTCATTAGCCGGCCCTTAGCCCGTGAAACACCAAAACCCTTAAACCCTTAATCCCTAAACAAAAACCTATTTAGCGCCTTAAAACCCCCAAACCCGAAAGCCCTGAGCCTAAGGCGCTTTTCACGCTAAAAAACCTTAAGCCCCCAAACCCTACAGCCCGGAACTTTCCCCCTCAACGCGCCACAAACGCCCGGCAAAAGCCCTGCGCCTAAACTCTCAAGCCCCCTAAACTCTAAACCATCAAAATGCCAAAACCCTGAAGCGCTGAATCTCCCCCCCCCCCCTCACAAACGCCCCAACAAAAGCCTCAAAAAGCCCGGCGCCTCAAGCCGAACACCCTTTAAACCCAAGACCCCAACTAACGCTTAAAGTACAACCCCTCAAAGCCCCAACCTTCCCCCCCAAACCCCTTTTAAACGCTGCACAAGGACCCTCATATGGGACCTTAGGGGTTCTTTAGGGGCTACTTAGGTATATAGGGACTATACAAGGTATACAGAGGGGATATTTAGGGGAATAACCCTGAGGCTCCCTAGGGGTTTTCCTGCTTGTACCCCTTTAGCCCCGCAAGAAAGCCCCGCGCCTTGCATGATCTGGTCAGGGCTGGCGCCGCAATGCGTCTCGAGGAACACGTTCCACCTGCATGCGGAGGGTATAGGGACCCTAAACCTCTCAGCCCAATAGCCCCTACATAGAATCCTATAAACCCTACATAAGCCCTGAAGCCTACACCCCATACAGGCACTTAGCAATTCACCCTAAACCCTATACAGATCCTCAGCACAGAGACCCTCCAAGCCCTAGTTCAGGGTCGAAAGCTTGGGGTTTAGGGTTATATATAGAAGCCCTATACAGCCCTGAGTGCATCTATGCCAGCACTCACGCACCTTCCGGTAAGAAGAGCTCGGGACTCAGGACCCTCACTCTGAACGGCTCGAAAACAGGTCCTCTTTTTTGCCTTTCGGTCCATGATGCCTGTATCATATATCTACTTGGGCCATAAAGAGGTTCCTATGCAACAGCGTCCGGATGCAAGTCTAGAACAGGTAGAACGAACACTGTAAGAGCTGCACGCCCATCTACTGCCTTCAATTCACCAGATTTTGTCAGCGCATAGCCCTCCCCACGCAGACTCCAGAGAGTTCTGCTGAAGATACCTGGACCCCGTTTACCTACAGTTTTGAGGGTTAAACTAAATACGGGGTACTACTCATCTGTAGGTAAATAATTAGGGTCCCAGGTTAACGTCTTAGGATTCATTTATCCCCAGGGATGGAGGCAGCTCGAAGGCGTCGCGAGCGAGGGAATGATAGTAGGCGAAACTGGAGCGCCACAGTACCCTTGCCTCGATGCCGAGCCACACTCCACGGTGCGCTCGTGGCAGGCGCTGTCTCTGCATGAGCTTCAAGACGCTTGCCGGGCTTGCTGGGCGCTGTTTGCTCGGTTCCCAGCATTTCAGGTCCGCCATCTGGCACATCGAGCTAGGCCTCACGAAGCTTGAACCACAGAATAGCCGTCCAGCGATCACCCGCCTGCCAGGGCAAGGTCTCATGCTCCTGGTCGCCCCAATGTACCAGAGCCGTCCCCGCCGGCACCTCCACGAGCACACTCTCACCCACTGGAGGAGCGGTCTCCGAACTGCGCCGCAAGAAGCGAATCCTTGGGGACGAAATGAACCCTAAAATTGGGGTCGTATACCCTGAGTACTATAATTCCTACTAGTAAATTATTAGGGTATATGAACCATAAACCCTTTTAGGGTTCATTTAGTCCCCAAGGATCTCAGAGCCCTGCAAGGAGTCCACCTTCAAGCACACGTTCACCGTGATGTGGCTGTTGTCCCTATGCCGCCGGAGGATGGTGTTGTGGCTCTGTCCATAGTGGATGAAGAATGCTGCGCTCAAGGTGAGATCATCTGGGGAGACGTCGAAGTCCCGCTTCAAGAGCGGGCGCAGCTCTTCGAGAAGCACTGGGTAGGGGAACGGCGTCTGCGAAATGTCCGTGGAGTACCTCTGGGGCTCAGGGTTTATAATTATAGGAATCCTAAGAGGGCACCTCTTGAAAGGTTTAGAGGGTTTCGGGCTTCGGGTTGAGAAGGGAACCTACCCCGTAACAAAAGAAAAAGGGAAGAAGGCCCACTCTGGGTCCTAGGTGCTTGTGCAGTGTGTTGAAGTTTGCCATGGAATGCTCTGCCAAGGCATCGAATGCAGCTGCCCACTCCTCTCCATCGAAAGTGTCTTGGCTAAGGCTCATCATGGATACCTCGAAGCTGCGTATGATGTGCTCGGACAATGTCTCACCCATCTTGGAGGCGCTGCTGACCACAACCCTCTGAAGGCATTCGAGCGCGTCCGGGGCACGCATCTGCCATTTCTCAATGGCATGAGCCTGTTCCTCGGCAGAGACTTGCGCAGTCGCCTCCGTGATATGCTCTTCGGGAATGTGGAGTGAGGTCAGCAATCGGGCGAATCGGCTTGAAGCGCTTTCTGCCATGGGACCATGGGACTTGCGGAAGCACCAGATGCCTTCAGCAGCCAAAATGACTATGGCAGGTGCTTGTATACTGAGAAAGGATACTTACTTTGGGTACAACATAGATATGTGCATGTATACATCTGCCGCTATACATATATATATATATATATATTTACATAAATATATACGCCACTATACATATGTATATACCTACATGCATATGTATATATATATATATAGTACATACACACATGTGTTAAACTAGGCAACTTGTTGGGCCCCTGAGAAGCAGTCAAAGCACTTCACCCCTTGCGCGCTTCGTCCTTGCGCCGGGGCCACGCGGTTTAGGGTTTAGGGTTCAGGGTTTAGGGTCTCTCGCAGAAGCAGTTCAGGGTTGCAGGGTTTAGGGCCCTGACGTACTTGGAGGAACTTTTCACCCACTTTTCATGGGCCATTGGAGCCTCCGGATGCTCGGTATTATTCCGGTTTCATCGGGTTTGGGGTTGAGGGTTCATATCCTACAAAGAGTCAGTGTCAGTTCCACCCTTTTTCCGCCGAAACTGCGAGTTTAGGGACTGTCTCGAGTCTTAGGGTTTCGGGCTGAGTCTCTCTAAAGGCTTTTACCTCAGACTCCGTGAGGTTGTATGGTGGGGTTGGGGTACTGGATCCCCTGAACTTCCAGAAGCCCTTGTCAATGTTAAGGAAGATTCCCTACCACAAACCCTTGGAGAAGAAATACTTCCTATATAGGGACTTTGGGGCCCAAGTATATCAAAATAAGGTACATGGACTTTCAGGGTTCTACCTTGGTAATACTTCAAGTAATTACGCCATTAGGGAGCCTCTAGGGCATGGGACTTCGAAGTTTAGGGTCGGTTCGGTCTGTAAAGTCGTGTTGGCACTTTAACCCTAAAACCCTAACCCCAACACCCTAAACCCTAAACCTTCACGGAAAGCCTTTAAAAAACCAGAAGAGAGGGCCAGCATCTGTACTATTGTTGACCACCGAGGTGCCCGAGGTTTGGGGATTTTGGGGATTTTGGGGTTTAGGGGCCGGCGTCTGGGGTTTCGGGTGTGGGGCTCTAGGGGCTAGGGCTTTGGGGTTTTGGGGGTTTAGGTTTAGGGTTTAGGGTTTAGGGTTTAGGGTTTAGGGTTTAGGGTTTAGGGTTTAGGGTTTAGGGTTTAGGGCTTAGGGCTTAGGGCTTAGTCTGCAGGGCTTTCGGGGGCTTCAGTGCGGATGGAGGGACAACCGAACCTTCGCCCAAGCCTGGCATCCATAACTTATCGTGCCAGGCAAAAAGGGAAGAGCTGTCTTAAATCTGAACCCAAAGAGCCCAATACCCCTTAATTAAGGAATATACCTTAAGTCATATTAAGGATCCCTATATGAATTGAGCTACATTCCTTAATGACGGAGTATTGTGCTCTTTGGGAAGCTTGCCCAGGGAAGTGCCCACCCTAGAACGGTTGTCGGGTTTCAGGGTTGAATTTTTCCGGGGTTGGCTTTGATCCCCGAACTACCTCGAAATATGCAAGGGTTCCCGGGCCCCAAAAATGCGGGATCACATTCATCCCCACAGGGGCCCAACCTTGCAACTCCTACTTGAAGGTTCATGGTACTTATTAACGAATTAAAAACTGCACTTATAACCCAAATTATAACCATGTTAGGGCACTTAAGGGCTTGTAAGTGGGTTACAAGTACAGTTGCAATGGGTTCTTAAGTACCCTGAACCTCCAAAATAAGGGGACCTAAACCCTAAATCCTAAACCCTAAACCCTAAACCCTAACCCTAAACCCTAAACCCTAAACCCTAAACCCTAAACCCTAAACCCTAAACCCTAAACCTCCAAATAAGGGGGGGCGCCTGCTCAACGGCTGGAGTCTGAAAGCCACTGCCGAGCCGAGAGGTGCGGATCTGTGCGCCAGGCTTAGTTTAGGGTTTAGGGTTTAGGGTTTAGGCTTTAGGGTTTAGGGTTTAGGGTTTAGGGGGCTCAGGGGTTCCTTGGGGACCAAATGAGCCTTGAAAGGGTTTATGGTTCATATACCTTAAACAGGAACTATATGGTAATAAATGGTCTATGATCAAAAATGGTTAGGGTTTATTTGGTCCCCAAGGTTAGGGTTTAGAGACTTCAAGGCACCGAAATCCCAGCGAACAACACAACCTCCCCCTAAACCCGAATGAAACCCTAAACCCAAGTAGCCACGATTGAAGCGAGCACTGCCAACCGAAACTCCAAGCCAGAAAAGCCTTATATCCCAAAGCCGCACAATCCTTAACTCTACTTAGAAGATCGGCGTACTGTTTAAGCCCGATGATAACCGCAGTTATCATCCACTTGGACTTCGAGGCCCCTTAAGAATCCTAAACCCTAAACCCTAAACCCTAAACCCTAAACCCTAAACGCAAACCCTGAAAAGCGCAGAAGACTCAGAGTCCACCCTTATAAAGGCCCTCCCCCGAACCCCACAAAGGCCCCTGAATCCCACAGCGGTTTAGGGTTTAGGGTTTAGGGTTTAGAGTTTTGGGTTGAGGATTTAAGGCCCTCTCCAAGCACGCGTCGCACACGCTTCACACAGTCAGGCGACTGAAACATCGAAGCATCATTCTTTCCTCCATCCCTGTGGATGCTGTTCCACGGGAAAGGGCTTCCACTGCCAGATGCAATCTTCGTCCATGAAGCAGTGGTATGCCCTGGGATTCTTCAGGGTCGCCGGAGCGTCTTCGGTAAGATGCTCAAACGCGTGATGCTTCGGCAGCACCTTCCACCGAAGCAGCTCGAGGGCGCTAATTGACCTGAAAAGCCCCATTGTATCTCGCAGATAGCTTGCTACTCACGAGTCTAAACCCCACCCCCCCCCCCCCCCCAGAACCCGTAGAGCCCAAACCCTTGAGCCAAGTAGGCCCTAAACCCTAAACCCTAAACCCTAAACCCTAAACCCTAAACCCTAAACCCTACCTGTCAATCCCCCGTTCCATAAAAAACTGTCCTATTGAAGAGGCCGGAAAAATCCAGCCGCGCAAAAAACCCGTCCGCTTTAATGATGGTCAGAAACCTATTTCCTGGTGGAAACCAGACACCCACACAATTCGCAGAAAAAGTGGCCTTTTCAGAAAAAGTGTCCTCTTGTTGGGTTTGCGTTGGGTTTTGGGTACGCTTTTTTCCCAACATTTTCCCAACATTTTTCCAACAAAGTACGGATTCGGTACGGTTTACGTTTCTTTGGGCTACCCCCACCCAAAACCCAACAAAACCCAACATTATGTTGGAAAAACGTTGGGTTCAGAGTACGCTTTTTTGTGTTCTGCTCAGGTCACCTATTCTTTGGTGCACAAGTCTGCACAGGGCTCGGGAAGGTTCCCCTGAACTCCGAAAATCCAGCCGCTTTGATCGTATTCCCCGATCCCAATAGAACACCAACACCTCGCTTTTGCACGCAAAAAACCAGAAAAAACCATAAGGACAGAAATTTCTGTCCGCCAGGATTAACAGGTAAACCCTAAACCCTAAACCCTAAACCCTAAACCCTAAACCCTAAACCCCTAAACCCCTAAACCCTTAAACCCTAAACGCTAAACCGGAAACCCTAAACCCTGGTTCCCCAGACCTCAGGTAGCCAACCATGCCAGGGCTGAGGCCACCCACCTTAGCATGCAGGCTTTGGGTTCTAGGGCTTAGAGCTTGGGGGGCTTAGAGGGGTTTAGGGTTTAGGGTTTAGGGTTTAGGGTTTAGGGCTGAAGCTTGAGGGTTTAGGGCTTTTCAGGGGCTTCAGGGGCTTTTGAAGTAGCAGCTTGGGAGACCACAAGAACCCTAAAAAGGGTTTATGGTTCGTACACCTTAAGAAGGATTTATAGACGTGGTATAGGGGGTTGAGGGTTTAGGGTTTAGGGTTTAGGATTTAGGGTTTAGGGTTTAGGGTTTAGGGTACGTACCCGATAATCCCATTTAAGGAGTGTTAGTATAAGGGGGAACATCCCAAGCTGTTGGGCGTGTGGTGTGGGCGCAATAGGCTCCCAAACTGCAAAACACACAAAAGGCCCCAACCCCCGAACCCCAAACCCCAAACCCCCAAACCCCAAACCGTAAACCCTAAGTCCAAACCCCTAAACCCTAAACCGTCAACCCGAAACAAACATCTCACTCTAAAGTTAAGCGGCATAAGGAGGGACCCCTAGAAGGGACCCTTGATCATATTCTCCAATATAACTCCTTCATATACCTTATATAGCCCCTATATACCTAAGTGGCCCCTAAATAGCCCGTAAATAACCCCTAAGATCACTTACAAGGGTCCCTCCTTTAGTCCCTTCATAAACCCGAAACCCTAAAACCTTACAAGCCTTAAACCTGAAAACAACCCTAAACACTAAACCCTATAAACCCTATAAGCCCTAGAAACCCTATCCTAGAAGCCCTACAAACCCTATAAACCCCATAAACCCTGTAAACCACATAAACCCCATAAACCCCATAAAACCCTATGAATCCCATAAACCCTTTAAACCCCACAAAACCCTATAAACCCAATGCACCCAAAAAACCCTACAAACTCTAGATAACCACCGTATACCCTATAAACCCTATACATCCTAAATAGACCCTGCAAACCCTGTAAGCCCTTTAAACCCTATACGCCCTGGAAATCCTATAAGCCCTTGACCAGAGTCCGCGGCATCGTCCGTAAGCTGGGATCCGGCTGGGAGGGTGAGGGGAGCGCCTCCGTGTGCGTCGGGCTTTCAAGGGCTTTTGCGGCCTGGGGCTAAGAATCTAAAAACCCTAAACCCGAAACCCTAACCCTAAACCCCATACCCCTCACAACAAATATAGGCACTTGCACCAATAGGGGTCCCGGCAAGATACCCCCAAATGCCATAATCCTGATTCTAGGCCCTCCCCCCGAAAAGTGGTATTCAAGCCCTAAGCCCAAATCCTAGACCCTAAACCCAAAACTTTATGCCGGTGAAAGGAGGCAAATTGAGAGTTTACCCTGTCCGTGCCAAAAGCATCTGGAA